CTCTCAGACCTCCTAAAATAATTACCCTTTGAATCCTGTTTTTTCACTGACAACAGACGTGAGCAATGGAAACAAGGACTTGGGGGACTTTTCCAGTTAAACATGTAAAGGGACCTCTTGGTTTTTAAAAGAAAGTAGAGTCAGATGCTCAGATGCTGTGATGCATGAAGAAACTTTAATTTCAGTGAATTCACTAATTAAGTAAATGAGAACAACCCAAAATATTTAAACTCCAAGAAATAGTAAGTGCTCTCTTAGAGGTAGTGGAAAGACCATGATGTTCTTTTTCTCTGCCTTGACAGGATTGCTCTTTATGGACTATTTTCCATGGGAAACTTCAGAGCTCTTGCTGTCTGGTATTCAGTTAAACCTTCCTTTAGCTTTTCTGTTGCCTTAAATGTATCAGCATTAATTTCTTGACACCCTAAACAACCAAATTCTTTCTCAAGCCTTCGTGGAGTGTTGAACTTTGCTGCTTTGTGTTTCATCTTGCTGATCAACATACTTCAGAAGAGACTGGAGGTGGGATCATTCTGCCCAAATTTAGGTCTCCACAATGTGGATGTCAAGAATTGCTTTACACTCCGGGGGAGAGAAGTCGAAAGCTGAAAGTAGACAGTTAAAATAGGTCAGACAAAACTCTTTCTTCATATGTCTGCTTCTCTCTGTTGACTATATAAAGAGACTTGACAATGAGCTCATGTGTCTCCTGGGTTTCTAAAAGTAGGTGATGTGTCTTAGGTCACTGAAGGGTTGATTTCCCAGCTCTGCTTCTTGCTGGCAAGTGTCTCTCAGTTGACATGAGGAAGGTGCACCATGCCCAGTTCACCACATTATGTGGCTGGCTTGCTACATTTGGGAAGTTTTAGAAGGGAAACAATAAAATGCACTGGGTTTCACCTTGTATTGAGAGCCTGAAGAACACAGATAAAGAATCAGTTGCATGATGGAAGGTGTTCCAGCTCTGTGATAATTCAGGGGAGCCACCGAGTTGATCAGAGGGCTGGAACACCTCTCCTGTGACTTCAGGCTGAAAGAGTTGGGTCTGCTCATCCTAGAGAAGGGTAAAAGACTCTGGGGCAACCTGAGAGCACCTTCCAGTGCCTAGAGGGGGCTTACAGAGGAGCTGGAGAGGGACTTTTCACAAGGGCATGGAGTGAAAGTCCAAGGGGAAATGGCCTTAAGCAGAAGGAGGGCAGATCGAGATTAGATTTTAGGAATAAATTCTTCTCTGGGTGGGGAGGGCCTGGCACAGGTTGCCCAGAGAAGCTGTGGATGCATTATCCCTGGAAGTGTCCAAGGCCAGGTTGGACAGGGGTTGGAGCAACCTGGGCTAGTGGAAGGTGTCCTTGCCCATGGCAGGGGGTGGAACAAGATGATCTTTAGGGTCCCTTCCAACCCAAACCATTTGATGATTTTGTGATAATTAACCTGTTCATATATAAGCTAAAATGACCATTTATCAAACCCTGTGCCATAAACAGTTCTGGAATTCCATTTCCTGGGGAGAAAATGGGAATGACAAGAGTGTTCTGTGGGCCAGATCAACTGGTGACATCTGGGGTATTCCCCTCAGCACTTTTGCACCCAGCAATTTTCTACCTATGTTTATTCTTCCTGGGGAAATGTCCTTCATGTCTTTAGGAAGTACTGGAATAACTGTACATGGAGTGGTTGACTTTTCTGAAATATATTCAGCCTGCAAAAACTCCATTGATGCTTCACATTGTCAGAATCTTTCTGACTTCCACACTCCTGTAGTACCTTGGTCATGGTACAGGAAAAGGATGTGGTGGGAGGCCCTGAGTAGACACTGAAGGAAGATGAATTAAGTGCTAAATTACCCTTTGATCATCAGTGGTCTAAGCCATTGTGGGTCAGCTTTGCAGTGTATTGGTTTCCTTCCAAACCACTGGCACACATCCCGGAGGACCACAACAAGGAGCCCAGACCAGAGGTTTTATTTTGGGTGAGCTCTCAATAACAGCTCACAACTGCCTTATAAAGTCACTCAAAATCCTCTTTCATTCATCCAACCTGATGCTGTGTAACAGTTTTACTCATTATTTGATATGGTGACTTTTTATTCTTTTAGGGAGTGATTTATTACGTTTTTTATGCCTCCCTGGCAGTAGACACATCACACTTGGAAAGGACCCACTGTCTGGTTCTGTTGATGAGTGACATCATGTTGTGCACTTGACACTTGTGGGCTTCTCATGGAGCAATTGTCCTCATCAGCCCCCAGAGTCCCTTTTTAGACAGGGGAAAGAAATGGGCACTTGCAGCAGAACAGGTTTTGCCAGAGCTTTTCCAACCTACCCTTGAAGCATCCAGGATACTTCCATAAAGAGTCCACAGCAGTGTTTACAAATGGACAAATGAATTCATCTTCATAGGTGAAGAATTATTTTCCTAAGTCGTTAGTTGACCAAAACAAGGTTTTTGTTTTTTTTTTAAATTCTTCTTTCTGTATTTCAGCCATGCTTGAAATAATCTCCTGAAGCCCATTCCATTTTAGTAACAATCAACTGGTTTTCAGATTCTCAGACACTTCAAAAGCCCTTCTATTTCACCAGAGATAATTGAAGATTATTTTGTGGATCTATACGTCCATAACTGAAAGGTGTGTTGGCTACTCTGACTTCACTAATTTTAATTACAGTGACAGAAGCACCTAAAACAGCAACATGAAGCATCAGTATCTCTAATTTCCTAATGAAATTACAGGATTTGGCTACCAATGACATCAGAAGAAAATATGATCATTCAAGTTTCCCTTCCAAATCCTATATTAATATATTTAATTATTTTTCTCAATACTGAATGGTAATGCTTTATCAATATTGCCTGTATTTTTAAATAATTCTATTTTTCTAGTAAAACATAGCTGATACTACCTGCCTGGGAGATAACTAGGATTTAATTGGTAATAGAGATAACTAGGATCTAACTGGTAATACAGATAACTAGGTTTTAATTAGTAATAGAGATAATTAGCCTTTAATTGGCAATAGGTGGACTGTGCATGTATGTATATCATGCATGCTGGGAATTGCTAAATAATAAACACAGGTTCTGCTGCAGGTTCAGGTCATAAGTTCACAGAACTGGGAGTTGTTATTACCTAATAAACACTTGAGTCTCTGTGGATGACATGAAGGCCTCAGCCCAGCATTTGATGCAGGTTTCCATGACTACCTTGAAGGGAAAAAAATGAAGTAGATTCTTTTATTTTTTCCCTGCAATATGTGAAAGGGAAGCAGTGAAATGGTTTGCAGATGTTCCTGTTGTCTCTTTTAGAAAAGTTCCTTTGAAACTCGGATGAAACAGGAGATGGAAAACGTCTTTGCTTTTTAAACCTGGTGAAGGCCAGGTGAAAGTAAAACTGGGTCTTCAAAAAACGGAAAAAGTGGATTCTAAAGGTTCCCACCTTCCCCCTGGGTGTTTGTCCACCTTTAGTCAGGCATCTCCCACCCTTTCATTGCATTTAAAGAATTCAAATAATTCAAATTTCTGATGCACTACAGTGACAGAATGCAAGGACGTAATTCAACCTCCACATCCCTCTCTGGCCTTCCTGGACTGGCCTGCACACAGGAGTGCAAATAATCAAGAAACAATTTCAAATCCAACGTCTGCTGATGCCTCTGTCTGGTTTTCTCTTGCCTGTGTTAATGGAGTGACTTTCTTTTCCCAGTGCTCACGGCTGAATGTCACCATGGATGTTTGCTGTCCTCCTCAGCTGAGATCTTATCAGTCCCTCATTATTTGATAAACCATCAGAAACACAGCTCAGTAATTAAATTCAGTGCCAGAGCAGAGCAGCAGTGACTGATCCAGTGAGAATGGAGGAAAACAGATCAGTTTAGAGTGAATTTTATGAACCATTGTTCTCCAAAAATTTTAAGGAGAGATTAATTTTCCTTTTTTATTTTTTTAATTGAAAGACTCTCTCCTTTCTAAATTCCAATATCCTGGCAGTATGTCGCAGTCAGTATAAAAATTGAGTGTCCTTTTATTGTAAATGTTCTTTTACAGCTCAGTTCTTTACAAATCAAAGCAGGATAATGAAAAAAATAAATCCAAATCTTAAAACACCTTCCCCCTTCTCTTCATCCTTCTTTTTTGATTAATTTTGACTCCCAAATGAAAGTTTATCTCTGTGCTAAAAACCTGACTGTAGGTGAAATGAGACTGCTGTGTCACCAAGGTATCAGGATTTGAGGGAGGATTGTGTTTTAAATGAGGTTTGGATCCAGCTGGAGTCTGAAACAGAGAGGTTGTCGTGAATGAGAAACTGTTTGAGAAATCTTTGTGATTTGGGATGAGTGGGCATTTTTAAGCCCTGGGTTATGGCAGGAGGGGCAAGGACAGAACTAATGTCAGGTCCTGACCACCTGCTCAGCTCCTTGGCAGAGGCCAAGCAATGAAGTTATAAATCAAAGTCTTATTATGTGGATGAATCTTTAAGACTGCAATTCATTCCTCTGCACTTCTATTTCTGAGTTCTCAAAGAGCTGTGGGGTTTTAACAACTCTGGTCATGGATTTTGTTACCTGGACAAATGATCTCCAGGAGTAAATCATCATGTCCTCCACACTCCTAAAAAGCCCCCAGACAGTTGTGCTTTTAAAAGACTGCTGAAAATCATGAAGGGTGAATCACAGCTTCAGAAATTAAGCAGACAGGTCCTTTTTCTGGCTCAAAACAATCCATCCTACCTTCTCCTTTGGGTACAGTTTAGATCTTTGCATCTACAGAGACTGTTCCAGTAGTTTCTTTGAGACAAGTTACTGATCACACAGACTTTGGATGTCCTTTGGCTTTAAATTAGGTGTCCAAAACCATCTATAACAGCTGCAATGCAGACAGGGATGGCTGATCTCTAATATGTGCAACTCGGAGTTCGAGTGTTGGGTTCTCTTGTTTTTGGTCCATCTCTTTTTCATTCTCTTCACGGTTTCCATATTTTTAACACTTTTCCTCTTTCATTGCAGAGATCTGAGCCTTGAGGTGAGGACCTCGACCCAAATACCTGCAGAGAGCCTGTGCTTCAGCCCTAATCACAGTGTTAACGAGGAAAAACTTGACTGAAGTTAATTAAGAGAGAAGATGGCCCTCACCAGGAAGATCTGCCTCTTCACTCTCATGTTGCTTCCCATGGTAAGTAAAAAACATTTTTATTTGTATTGTCCTGATATAAATACATGTTCTGATGGTCAGGAGTGAAGAATCTTCTGCTGACACCAATTTTGGCTTTTTCTATGTGGGTCTTTCCTATGTTGGGTTAAGGTTTTCCAACCTCCCTTGTTAATGCAATAGGACTGTGGTCACTGCTCATCCTGAGAAGGGTAAGTCCCTTCCTTAAGGGCACTTGTTCACTGTTTTTCTCCAAGAATAAAAATAAAACAAAGTAATAATTAAAAAAAAAAAGGGGGGGGGTTCTCTTTCAAATCCATGGGCTTAAGAGTATTTTTTTTTCCTGACAGAGGGGATAAAATTAGAGATTCCTATCAGCCCTGTGAAACCTAAACCTTGAGATGTTTCAGGCAGTGCTTTTGGATGCCTCCATTTTCAGAGGACTGATTTTAAGAAACAATACAAATGGCCCTCCTCTAAAGATACTAAAGGCATTCAGAGTCATTTATCACGTTTCTGAAGATATTCAACTCTTTCTGAAGATGACAGGGATTAATTTTCCCCAGAAGTCTTTACTTACTGAGTAACTCACTGTTCCATTAATAACTCAGTCTTAACACGTCTGGGGATTGTAACTGTTCTTCTCCATTGCCCCCCTACACATTGTGGCTGTATCTGACCTCACATAACAGCCATAAAAACACTGAATAAAGATGTTTTTTCTCCCTTTGTAGCTGTGAGGAACAGCACATAACCCTTATAATGAACTCATTTCGCATTTCAACTCTCTTCTTTGCTAGACCATTGATCATAAATGTGCTTTTCATCACTTCTCAAAAAACTCTGCTCAGAGGGATCCCATGACAAATAGCACCAGGATTCAAATCCTCCATCTCATTTTTATTAATAACCTTCCACAATTTCCATGCAAGTGCTTTAAAATTGCTTAATATACAGATATTCTCATGTTATTGCACTATTTGAAAGCATTCTTGACAATTATTTTGTTTTATTTTTAATTACCAACAATTTAATATGGTAGTGATGAGACCAGAGCATCTTTTAGGAGTTTTTGCAGAGTTTCCTGCTCGTGTGTATCCATTGTGTGACCTGTCTTTTATAATGTCACCATACAGGGCTTGTCTGTACTTTGGCACACAAAAATATGCTATTTTTCCTTTTGAGGTCTTATATAAGTAGAATCTATTTAACTGAAAATCGGAAATGTAACATAATTCAGCTAAACTCTGTAGAACATGGTTGGAACTGGTAGTATACTTGTGCTCATCCAAATAATAAATAATATAATTCCCATATGAAAGTCCTGACTGTAAAAAGTTACTGAAATTCAGTTGCTGGTTTGTGGTTTGTTTTTTTTTTAACATACATCAGATTATTTAAACACACCTTGTTGCTTCTGGTTTGAGACCCAGAAATAACAACTGTTGTGTGTCAGTCTCTCAGGAGTTCCCATCTTAACAGCTAAGCCTGGCACAGCTTCAGTGTTTCCTCACATGTGAGTGCTGGTGAGCTGCATCCTGCACTGGGAGAAACTGGAAAGTTGAATTCCTGGGTTTCCCAAGCGTGTTTTTCAGACTGGAACAAAATTACTCACACGGTCACGTGAATGGAAAAGCAAAAAGACATTTTTGTTCAAGGATCGGCGACCTTTAATATTTCAAGATTTTTGGTGCCCAGCTTGAGACAGCCAAAAGGTGTCTTCTTATTTAGAGGGAAGCAGTTTTTAATTAAGGGAAATAAATGAACATATCTCCAGAGCTTTCATAGGCACGACCTTCCTGGCAGATGTAGAAGGACAGCAAGTTTCCAAAATTGTTAGTATTTCAGGACATAGCTGTGGTTGCTGAGCTGGATAATTAGTGATCAGCTCCAGCTTTTGGAAAGAACAGTTTTTTAATGAAATACCGTGGAGCAAATCAGAGTTAATGAGAAGAAATGTGCTTTTATATATGTGGTGTGTCTACAGTGTTTCTGATCTTATTTATATGATTTTATTCCAGTCTTTTGCAGGAAGCCAGACACTAAAGTTAAGCTTTTACCACACGTGAATTTGTGTCTTTGCACACATATTTTTTGGTCAGACTTAAGCCAATGGCAGAGACTGCACCATAATTTGTGTGCAAAATTATGCAATTAGTGATTCCCTACATTTCTTTTGACAGACCAAATTTCAGGAATGATATAATGTTATTTGTGATTCTTCCCTTGCTGCGGCTCTTTTGCAATGCTTGTGGCAACACATTTCTCTCCACTGGGACACTCATTTTCTCTTCAAACCACCTCTAACGTGCTGTGCCAACAACCTCAAATTGGTACTTTCCTGTCATGCAGATTTTCAGATTTTCTACCAAGGGAGTGGACATAAATTTAAAAAAAAAAAAATTAGAATAAATCTGAATAGAATAAAGTCGAATGTCATCCTAACCCTCAGAAAGTTCCTGAAAATAACTGCTTTTATATTGCTTTCCTCTAAACTCATCTGGTACTCCAGGAATCTCCAGTCATCCTCAAGGAGAGCTCCTGTTCTTAGATGTTGGGATTGATCCTCATTTTGTGGCACATGTCTCCATTCCTCAAAGTGGTTGCAGTAGCTCCTGAATCTGCTTGGATGTGCAGGTTTTGGATTTACCCACAGCCCCCATTTTACCCACAGGAAACCAAAGCCCCCCAGACTGATGTCCACACCCACAAACAGGGCAAGAAAAAGCTAAAAGGGGACAAAGTATTACAGGGAAATTCTAGGTGGCTTCAAATATAGACTCAGAACAGACAACAAGAAAATAAAATGCCAAGACATATTTAGGAATGTGCATGTTAAGGCAATTCTGACTGTCAGAGTCTAAGGGTGGGTTGATTTTTCATGTGTTTAACAGGTTCTGTATTGGCCTATTAAATGTATTCCACTTTATGAATCACTTGGGATTGAAAACAGCTCCTAGACCTCTTAGAGGAATTCTTGAGCTTTATTTTTTTTCCCCCATTTTAAGTGTTTTCCCAGATTTAAATGCCGATGTTGCTGTTTTAGCTGACTTTAATCCATTTTTGTTAGCTGGGCCACCTCTTCTCAGTCACTCTCATTCTTTTCTTTGTTTTGGATGAAGCTCTGAGCAACCTGGTCCAGTGGAAGGTGTCCCTGCCCAGGGCAGGGGGATTGGAATGAGATAGTCCTTAAGGTCCCTTCCAACCCAAACCATTCTAGGATTCCATCGTTCTGGGATCTCTTTTCATTTGCACATCAATTTTCTTCACCCTGCTTATTTTGCTCCTGAACTCATTTTCACTGTCATTTTGATTGATTTTACATTCCCCTCATCTGTGATAACAGTGGGTTTGGGTTTTTTTTTATTGGAAAATATAACAAAAGTCATCATAAAATTATTGAGGAGAAAGGATCCTAAACCATCATTCCTTTGTCTGGTTCCAAATGTACTTGAGAAACAATGAATTTCATGACTCACAAAGTTGGCTTAGTGTATGAACTGAATTTTAAATGTAACTGCAATGCAGGTGTTTTAACTGTCTGGATAATTCAATCACACGTATTTCTTCACCTAATATTTGGAATTTCTTGTGGATTCATTTTTAATATGGTTAAGCTTAAATGGCAGAATATTCTTCGTAACATTTCATTAACTGGGAAATGTGTTCACTGACTTCCTTTAAAAACAGAGAGAGAGAGAGAAAAGTAAAGGTGTAAGTGATGCCTCTTGTGTACCAAAGTGGAAGTGTGATCCCTGTGTGACAGTCAGATGGGCAAATCCAGATTTGTGTGCACAGGCAGCATCTCACAGAGCAGAGAATGAAACCTCGATCTGATTATGTTTAAGCAACTCATGAAGAGGTGAGGAGAGAAAGTAGATCTGTTTGCTCAGCCCCTGTTTGCTGAAGGGGGTGATATTTCTCAATCTTTTAAGGGTGTGTATGGGCTGCAGAGCTGAGAACTCTCTGTTATTCATCTGTAGCTGTCACTTGCAGTGCCAGGCTAAGTTCAAATATCCACATTTCAGCCTCTGTCATTTTTAAAAGATGAAACATATTGTGTATGAAATATGAAATATGAAAAACATTGTGTATTCAGACACAATATTCTACTAGTTCCTTTCCAACCCTGCAATGTTTTTTAATGCATTTCCTGCTGCAGCCCAAATGTGAGGCTTCTCAGGCTCCAACAGAAATGTCTGGGTTGGTCCCTGCTCTTTAAGGAAACTATTTTTTCCATGCAGGACTTAATGAGAGAGCTTTTAATGAGTTTATCTGCCTGGTGATTTGTAGCATCTCATAACCCTATTGGAGAAGTCAAGTTCTCTGTAGGACTGTAGGTGTCTCTAACACAGTGCACAGTTAGATGGAACTTCCTTGTTATTTATGTAATGAAAATATAAATATGTACAGATATAGTCAGGGAACTGCTGGGAATGTTCTCCATAGGAGATAAAAACTCAGCTAACCAAGATATTAATACTGTCATAGCTTTTCCTTTTTAATATGAGGAGCAATCAGCAGAATATGGCAACCTCTTAAAAGCCTTGTTTAAAATAGAAAAACAAAGTCTCAGAATGTCTAATGGTGGGTAAAGTAGTTTCAAAGAGAAGGCTCGGAATTTTTGGTGCATCACAAAAGGCATCTGAGACAATCAGCGTCGCAGAACCGCAGGGTCTCGATACCCACCAACTGCAAGTGCATTTCAGAGGCACAAAAATTAGGATCTGAGGCTCCAGATGCTCCTTATCCTGTCAGCTGGGTGGGACAGGTACTTACAGAGAGGGAGAGAGTGACACATCCCTCAGGGTGAGATCTCCACCTGAAATATCTACGGGTCTACGTGTTTACACTCCTGTCTAAGATGCCCGAAGGTGATGGGAGACCTTGGTGTGGTGTTGGTGCTCTGTGGAACTTGTAATCTCACCCTGGGCACATCAGGTTATTGCAGGAGATAAAGAAAGACACCTACTTAAAACGTTTTTCATAGAATCAGAGAATGGTTTGAGTTGGAAGGAACCCTA